AGGGCTTCTGTGCGGGTTGCTGTCTCAGCATCATATAGAACTGTTTCTCTTGTCTTATCTTTTTGGGGCTCTCTATTCTTCTCTTTCTGAGGCTTTCTTTTCTTTTTCCGGCTCTCGTTTCTATCTCATATTTTTCTTTTTGAATTATGTTTTCAATTATGTTATTATTATGTTATTTCCTTTTAATTATGTATTCTTAATATTTATTTATGTTGTTTCTTTCTAATTATGTATTTAATTATGTGTTTAATTATGTGTTTAATTATGTGTTTATGTTTTTAATCTATTTTTATTAATTATAATTTATAAGCTATTGGTAGGACCCATGGAATTGTGCATGCTGCTTCTCTTTTCGTTTCTTTTTATAGGTCTCTTATCTATTTATATATATTTTCCATTTGTATTTTATATATGTGTATATATATTATTTTCTGTTTTACATATTTTTTTATTCTTTTATTTCCTCTTTATTTTTTTCTTTTACAGGATAGGTCATCGTGGGATAGGTTCATCTGCGGCCGGATGATACATCGCATGGCAGGATTCATCATCGATTTTTACTCGCGAATACGGGAAGGATAGGAAGAACACTGGCGCGCGTGTCGGCGGGCACAGGCGTGGGTGTTCTCGGGCGCGATTAAACTTCGTTTGATTGTTCGTATCGAAAACGCGAATTTAAAGTAGAGTCACCGTTTTTCTAACACTTGCGTGGGTGTTCGGGCGCGATTAAAGGTCCTACCGTGGACTTCGTTTGATTTCTTCAAAATTTCGATGGGGGTACTTCGCGAATTTCGGCTTAACAGTAGAATCTACGTAATTATAACACACACGTGGGTGTCGCGACGCGATTAGTATTTCTAAGGAGTGCGCTTTGTTTGTTCGAAATTCGGAAAGCACGAATTCAGATGTGCTTAATAATCCGTTATGTCTGAAGCGGACGGTGCAAATGGTGGAGCTATCTGTAAGAGGTGTGTTGTAGCTAAGCTACGCATACCCTGTTAGTTAAGAAGCCAATGCATTGAAGCGGAAAGGTATCGCGGATCGGTATCGCGGGACGCGGATTTTAGAGTAGAGTCACCGTCAGTCCGTGGGTCTCCACGTGCAGCAACTTCCACGTAGTGAGACCTGGGTCGGTATTACTTGCAAAGTTTAATTGTAAATTTTTAAATGCAAGTATTACCGAGCGAATGGCTGCATATTTTTTTACTTTTCCAATATCTTTTTAATCTAATTCCAACTGAACATTAATATTTTTCGACTTTATATCGCTAATAATACTTCAAAAGAAGGAATATAGCAGAAATCTATTGTATAATAATTTCTCAGAGTAACGAAAAGGAAATTTTTCTATCACAATTTTATGTCCGCTGTCATTTCTATTTATTCTTATTTACTTTCATTAATTATCCTTTATATATCTCGGGTGGGACCCACGGGTGGGGCCCATGGGTGAGGGCTTCTGTGCGGGTTGCTGTCACAGCATCATATAGAACTGTTTCTCTTGTCTTATCTTTTTGGGGCTCTCTATTCTTCACAGTCAGGGGTTCTCTTTTCTTTTTCCGGCTCTCGTTTCTATCTCATATTTTTCTTTTTGAATTATGTTTTCAATTATGTTATTATTATGTTATTTCCTTTTAATTATGTATTCGTAATATTTATTTATGTTGTTTCTTTCTAATTATGTATTTAATTATGTGTTTAATTATGTGTTTAATTATGTGTTTATGTTTTTAATCTATTTTTATTAATTATAATTTATAAGCTATTGGTAGGACCCATGGAATTGTGCATGCTGCTTCTCTTTTCGTTTCTTTTTATAGGTCTCTTATCTATTTATATATATTTTCCATTTGTATTTTATATATGTGTATATATATTATTTTCTGTTTTACATATTTTTTTATTCTTTTATTTCCTCTTTATTTTTTTCTTTTACAGGATAGGTCATCGTGGGATAGGTTCATCTGCGGCCGGATGATACATCGCATGGCAGGATTCATCATCGATTTTTACTCGCGAATACGGGAAGGATAGGAAGAACACTGGCGCGCGTGTCGGCGGGCACAGGCGTGGGTGTTCTCGGGCGCGATTAAACTTCGTTTGATTGTTCGTATCGAAAACGCGAATTTAAAGTAGAGTCACCGTTTTTCTAACACTTGCGTGGGTGTTCGGGCGCGATTAAAGGTCCTACCGTGGACTTCGTTTGATTTCTTCAAAATTTCGATGGGGGTACTTCGCGAATTTCGGCTTAACAGTAGAATCTACGTAATTATAACACACACGTGGGTGTCGCGACGCGATTAGTATTTCTAAGGAGTGCGCTTTGTTTGTTCGAAATTCGGAAAGCACGAATTCAGATGTGCTTAATAATCCGTTATGTCTGAAGCGGACGGTGCAAATGGTGGAGCTATCTGTAAGAGGTGTGTTGTAGCTAAGCTACGCATACCCTGTTAGTTAAGAAGCCAATGCATTGAAGCGGAAAGGTATCGCGGATCGGTATCGCGGGACGCGGATTTTAGAGTAGAGTCACCGTCAGTCCGTGGGTCTCCACGTGCAGCAACTTCCACGTAGTGAGACCTGGGTCGGTATTACTTGCAAAGTTTAATTGTAAATTTTTAAATGCAAGTATTACCGAGCGAATGGCTGCATATTTTTTTACTTTTCCAATATCTTTTTAATCTAATTCCAACTGAACATTAATATTTTTCGACTTTATATCGCTAATAATACTTCAAAAGAAGGAATATAGCAGAAATCTATTGTATAATAATTTCTCAGAGTAACGAAAAGGAAATTTTTCTATCACAATTTTATGTCCGCTGTCATTTCTATTTATTCTTATTTACTTTCATTAATTATCCTTTATATATCTCGGGTGGGACCCACGGGTGGGGCCCATGGGTGAGGGCTTCTGTGCGGGTTGCTGTCACAGCATCATATAGAACTGTTTCTCTTGTCTTATCTTTTTGGGGCTCTCTATTCTTCACAGTCAGGGGTTCTCTTTTCTTTTTCCGGCTCTCGTTTCTATCTCATATTTTTCTTTTTGAATTATGTTTTCAATTATGTTATTATTATGTTATTTCCTTTTAATTATGTATTCGTAATATTTATTTATGTTGTTTCTTTCTAATTATGTATTTAATTATGTGTTTGATTATGTGTTTAATTATGTGTTTATGTTTTTAATCTATTTTTATTAATTATTATTTATAAGCTTTAGGTAGGATCCATGGAATTGTGCATGCTGCTTCTCTTTTCGTTTCTTTTTATAGGTCTCTTATCTATTTATATATATTTTCCATTTGTATATTATATATGTGTATATATATTATTTTCTGTTTTACATATTTTTTTATTCTTTTATTTCTTCTTTATTTTTTTCTTTTACAGGATAGGTCATCGAGGGATAGGTTCATCTGCGGCCGGATGATTCATCGCATGGCAGGATTCATCATCGATTTTTACTCGCGAATACGGGAAGGATAGGAAGAACACTGGCGCGCGTGTCGGCGGGCACAGGTGTGGGTGTTCTCGGGCGCGATTAAACTTCGTTTGATTGTTCGTATCGAAAACGCGAATTTAGAGTAGAGTCACCGTTTTTCTAACACTTGCGTGGGTGTTCGGGCGCGATTAAAGGTCCTACCGTGGACTTCGTTTGATTTCTTCAAAATTTCGATGGGGGTACTTCGCGAATTTCGGCTTAACAGTAGAATCTACGTAATTATAACACACACGTGGGTGTCGCGACGCGATTAGTATTTCTAAGGAGTGCGCTTTGTTTGTTCGAAATTCGTTAAGCACGAATTCAGATGTGCTTAATAATCCGTTATGTCTGAAGCGGACGGTGCAAATGGTGGAGCTATCTGTAAGAGGTGTGCAGTAGCTAAAGCTACGCATACCCTGTTAGTTAAGAAGCCAGTGCATTGAAGCGGAAAGGTATCCCGGATCGGTATCGCGTTCCGCGGATTTTAGAGTAGAGTCACCGTTAGCTCGTGGGTCTCCACATGCAGCAACCTCCACGTGGTGAGACCTGGGTCGGTATACTTGCGATGTATTGATATTTTATGATAAATCATGCAACGCAAGTACTACCGGGCGAGTGGCTGCATATTTCAATGTATTTTCAAAGTCCTTTCAATCTAATTCTTATTAAATACTTAAGTATGACCATTTTATATTGTCAATAATACTTGAAAAATTAAATATTGTTATAATATATAATCTAATAATATAATTATAAGAATAATGATAAGATGTAGACAAAAAAATATGTATATATTCTTATATTATATAAAATAATATTTGATATGTAAATATTCAATATTCAATTTTCGTACTAATTAAATTTATTCAATAACATACATTTATATAATAAAATAAGTGCGTGCCAGCACTACGTCGTATCTGTCATGTATTGCTGCGACAATCATGCCACCATTAAAAAAAAATACAAATATGATTGAATAAGAAGCACGAATTTTGTGTCGACCTCGTTGCAACTGTTACGCCTCCTCTGGCAAGACACATAACTAACACACCTCGGCGCCACTAAGCACACACCAACCAAATAAAGTGAGAAACAACAACCCGAAAGAAGAAGACAAAGACGCCAGGAACCAAAAAAAGAAATCATTCATTCTTTCTTTGATTCTTCTTGAGACCAAAGCAATAGCTACTGAGAGTGATTGTCTGATTAAACTGTTGTGTACCTGACAAAGTTAAATAAATATATCACAATTATTGTTTGATTTGTAATATTTCATTCTACATAGTGGGTTGTCCACGAAAAATTCACAGTTGACAACCTACTAGTACCATCTATTCTAATCTAAAATAACCCAATCGTTACTCTTGGTAAGAAATAAGTTTAAAACTGACTTATCGACCGATATCATAGTGCATAGCGGCGAGATTATTTTTCGCTTACTATTATAGTTCATATTTTGTCCATACCTGTCGCTGAAGTCACTGACACTTCGAACGAAAATTGATGTCTTCTCGAATATATGGCGATAAAACAGTTCGATATGTTTAATGATATCAACAATTTGGTTAATTTCAAGGAATATAATATAAAAGAAGAAAATCTAAGAATTAAAAATTATGAATATTGGAATTTTTCGTGGTAAAAAGTTTTTCATTGTGAAATAAGTATATAAAAAATTAATATATTTTGTTAGGATAATCTTTTCTCATAGAAAATTGCGATACGAAATTTGTTCAAAGTGACTCATCGATTTTTGTTTTCCTTGTGTACGAACATTTTCGATAGCAACGGAAAGATGCAAAAGTTCTTACCGATTGTTTTTGGTTTGTACATATATTCACACGAACATCATCGACAGTCATCCAAAAAAAAAAAAAAAAAAAAAAAAATTTTTAGTTTTTTTTCTTTCTCAATATCACAAGCGATATATAATTATTATATTAATTATTTCTTAAACATCTCACTCCATGTCTTCATAGAGTTATTATTAATTACAGCTAAAATAATGGCTTTTACAGAATATTTGGAAAATTATTAAAAAGAAATAAAAATTTTATTACCACTTCGTGTATAAAAATTATTTGTAGGAAATTGTACATCACATATTAACAATTCGAAGGTAATATTTTAAATATTAAGGATATAACAAACGTTTATTATTAAATAAAGGGCATATTTTTGATAAATTATTTAACATATGATGAATAATACCGGTTGATTAACATAAATGAAAAAGTTTTTATTATCTCGTGTTTTGTCCACAGGAATACGCTTTAATTTTGTTGGTATATCAGCCATGTCTACATGGATATCCGCAGACGAACGTATGTTAAAAATAATAAGGAAGATAGTACCAAATTTGACCAATACTAAATATAAAGGTCAAGATGGAAGAATAGGAATATTCGGTGGTAGCTCAGATTATACTGGAGCACCATATTTCACGGCAATGAGTGCTCTTAGAACTGGCGCAGATTTAGTGCATATATTTTGTGTAAAAGATGCTAGTACACCTATTAAATCTTTTAGCCCAGAACCAATTGTACATCCGGTTTTGGATCAATACGATGCTATGAAACATATAAAGCCTTGGTTGGATCGTTTGCATATTATTATCATTGGGCCAGGACTTGGAAGAGATGATAAGATTCTTAAAGTCATAGTTGAATTGATTTCCATCTGCCGTGAATTAAAAAAACCATTGATAATAGACGCGGATGGATTATTCTTAATATTTCAAAAACCTGACATAATTAAGGATTATCCAGATTTAATACTTACACCTAATGCTATGGAATTTAGTCGATTAGCTAAGTCTATATTAAAAAAATCGATTCAACCTTCCCCAATGGTTAAGCCTGCGGATGTAAAAGAATTGGCGGATACTCTTGGAAAGAATGTTGTCATTTTACATAAAGGAGCAAAAGATATTATAGCGGATGGACATGAAGGCACTGAAACTATATCATGTGGCATGGCTGGTTCTGGACGACGATGCGGTGGTCAAGGAGATCTTTTAGTTGGATCCGTAGCTGTTTTCTGGTGGTGGGCCATTTGTGGTGTAACTTGTGATTCCACTATATCACCTTCGGTATTAGCATGTTACGCAGGATCAAGATTAATTAGAGAATGTAATTCAGCTGCGTATAAAATTAAACAAAGAGCCACTTTGACAAGTGATATGTTGGAACAAATACAAAATGTTTTTGCTAGAATTTTTGAAACTCATGGCAACAAGTGAGCTATAAGTTTGAATCGTAAACTCATTTATAAAATTACAATTGATACTATATTTCATTTATACGGGGTTATCTGTGTGTGTGTGTGTGTGTGTGTGTGTGTGTGTGTGTGTGTATATATATATATATATGTATATTTACAGGCAATTTTTTTATAATTGCATATATATTTCTTAGTATAAACAATTATTTAATGAATTTTTTTTAAATATATTTCTTAACAAGAAAAGAGTATATATGTATATATCTAATATCCCATCAAAGTTTTCTTAATATTCGTTTTAGAACTTCGTCATTCAATGGGAGAAATCGATTATTGCAAAATGTTGATAATTAAAAACATTGGATCATGTTTAAATGAAATTTTTAGAATACACGAGATATAGTATACTAAAGAATATTAATAAATATAATGTTATTTTATGACAAATTAGATCATATGCATGCATTTAGCATTGTTAATATCTTAGATATGGAAAAGTTATAAATAATAAGACTGTCAATAAAATATTTTGTACATTTTATACTCTAAGAGTATTTAAGGAACGAAATAAGATCAGTACATTGGTAATTAAATTTTTAAAAAGAAATCTACTTATATATTTATAATAATGATAATATTAATAATAATAAAAATATTTCTTTTCCTTTTTCTTGTTTATACAAAACTTTTAGATTTTGCATGATCATACAAGAAATATAGAAATTTAATGGTCACTCGTACATAAATATTAAGAAGAGAAAAATTTGTCATACAACAACATTTATGTGATTTATCACAAGAAATACATATCTAATATCATTTTTAAGAATGATGCTGTAGATTTCAGCCATGGTAAGCCAATTAATTAAGTACAAATATATTGCATCGTACTGCAAATTTTTTATCTGCTACTTATAACCGATATTGTAATCGATTACTTTTCTATTATAATGAATAATTTCATTATTTAACAGATATTTTTAAAAATGTACATTGATCTCCTTCCAAAAGTTCACTCTCTTTTGTGCGTAAGATTAATAATAATAATAATAATAATAATAATAATAATAATAATAATAATAATAATAATCATAATAATAATAATAATAATGAGTACGTATGATATATAAAAAGGAGAAGAGGTAAAAAGAGAAGTGCAATTTGCACATCGTTAAAAGAGAGATTTGGCATTAATATCTTAAAAAATACTGCCTATTTATGTCAAGTATAATGTCCGCTAAAATTTCTTTTTCGAACATCATTCAATTTAAGCCATTAATAATACTAATATCAATAACCTAATTTATCATTTATAGACTACGAATAAAATGTCAGTACCGAAATATGATTTCCCCTTATTAAAAGAGTTGGGGGCATGTCACGAGTTAATGCTTCTAACCATGCCATGTATAAGGGTGCTGACACTGCACCTTTTCTTGGCATTGGTAATGACCTGTAAATTATATTAAATTTAATTAATTATTATTCTCTTTTAGACAATATCACCATCGGACTAAAATTATCATGAATAATTACGTACATTACTACTAATGTGGATTGACTTGAATTCTCCAAAAGTAATTCTCGAAGTCTCAATTGTCGATTAGTTTTATCTCGTAATGTTTGTAATTCAAGATCAGTGACGCAGCAATCTAGAAAAAAAAATTCATTGATAATTTCGATAGATAATCATTTTATTTATGATAATATATATAATAAATGATCAAACCTGAATTATCGGTAGGATCATTTCTTTGAAAATCAGATATAAGTTTGTCAAAGAAATTTTTTGTATCCTGTCGAGGAGCAATACTGATGTCATCTACCATTTTTAAACTCGTATATTTGATTCGAAATTTAGCCATGATTTCAGCCATTCTGTAGATAAAACAAATCTTTGAAGCAAAAATATAAAAGAGACGGATTAGTATGAGTATTAAAAAAAAAAAAAGAAAAAAAAATCTTACTCCTTCTCTTGAGCCTCAATCTCTTGTTTGTGATTGGCCAAAGCAAAGATTCTCATCTTACAATGTTCCCAATTAGAACGTGTACTGATAATATATGGCAAAAGAATTGTCAAACCTAATGAAATGGAACAGAATTGGATAGAGTATAAAGAATGATCTTTCATAATTTGATAATGATTATTTATTTCTTGGATTACCTCCATCATCGTAAAGCCACCATACGTCAATTACTCCTTTCTTATGTTTTTTTTGAAAAATTGTCATGTGTTCTGGCAACACTGGCATTCCATTTCGTTTTTCACTAAAACATGAAGAAATAATGCTATATAATATCACATGTGTGTGCGCGCGTGTGCTCGCGTACTGTTTGTGTATACTTTCCTTTTTTTTTTTTTTTTCCTGAAAAGATTTGAAATTCACGATAACAAATATTTGAAACTTACGAAAGTAATTTATCAGTAGCTTGTTTTTTCTTCTGTTTAATATGGTCACGTGCATTCCAATGAGTAGGAGATTCTCTAATTATATTTGGTCCCTCCACTATAGTAAATTGTGTTCCTACTCATAGATAGAATGAAAATACGATGTTGCAATGTTTTATATTTTTCAAATTTTTGATAATTATATTGTTCAATGTAATATTTAAATATAATAGATACCAAGATAAGATTTAAATTACATACCTATAGTTGGTACACTTTGTACTCTTGGTATTTGACTACTCATTGAGAGATCACTATCAGCGTGCATCAATGTAGTACCAGTTAAGTCGTAACTACTTTGTGCTAAAGTACCATGTTCTTCGTCTACCACAGTAGAACCTATTTCGGAACAATCCAAACCATCTTCGATACGTAGGATTGCAACAGCCAATTTGTGATCGAAAGCATTGCTAAAACGACAAAAGAAATAATGAAATTGTTAAGGGAAAAAAAAATTTATCGAATAGAAACATTATAATGATAATGAGATTATTTTTTTTTTTATTACTGAAGAACGTTGAAATATTCTTGAAGATCTTTATGATTACAAGTCGACCAATGAGTTTTGTAACCCATTAAGACAACGTTTGGAGCTAACTTTCCTACTCCTGTTGCTTGCATCAATGCTGATGCACCTCTTTCCAAATTTAAATCTTCTACAACGTGATAAAATGATTTGATTCTGTGTCTATGCAACCAGGCATAGCCATTCCTTAAACGTACAGATCTTAATCGATACGACAAACGTGTCTGTAAAAACATAAAAAGTGTAAAACTGATCATTATATTTTTCTAAAAGATTTACATTTTTTAAATCCAAATTTATATCTATGATTTATTTTTAATGAATATATTAATATATTTTTAAAACATTTTAACTTCGATCATTATTATTAAAAGTTAATTAAATGATTATTTATTAAAAATTAGATTAAATAAAAAAATATAACATGATATTTTTTATACTATCATTTAACAAGCAAAACTTGATAGAACATATCGAAATAAATTATTTGCAATCAATGAATTAATCGATCATGATTTATCTCACAAACATTATTAATCAATCGATACTTAACTGTTATAGATCATACGACAAAATACTTACTTGACATATTTCCCCAGATATTAATAAGGAATTATTTTTCGTAATAAGATTTGCCAAATATAAAAGAGCCGGTCTCGTACCAGGATGACCAGTAAGAGCCAAGATTTGCGGAGCATAATTTTTCACATGTTCATCGATAGAATTCAATCTACAAATATATAATTCAAATATATACAAATTATTTATTCGATTAATTTGAAATAAAAAAAATATTTGTAATCGGGAGATACAAATTTACCTATAGACGATAGATAACGCAGTTTTATAAGTTTGAGCTTGAGTACTGCTACCCCAGTTAACATCAGGTTTACGATATACAACAATCAGATATAATGCGAAGATAATAACGAATGTTATTAACGAAGTTACCCAATCGATGAAATACATAATGCTTACGCAAACGATAAAACCAAATAGAGATAACCAGGTGTTGTAATACTGTAGATAACGATTAATCATTAATTAGGATTAATCAAATATTTTATTTTTCAATAAGAATTTTCAATTGTGTTGAATTTTTCTTCTTCTGTTTTTTTATTTTTTTTATTAATCAAACGTACCCTGAAGGTAGGTCGCCATCCAAGTGGTCGAATAAGCGCGGCGTGAAATGCACAGAAATTAATGAGAGCATAGGATGCTAGATAAAAGTTTGATATTAACGGTGCTACTGCATTGAGATTGGCTAAAAGTCAAAATAATTTGTTAAGTTATTATATAGCTAGTAATATATATTTCTATTCTTTTATAATACACGGATAATATTATATAAGTAATAATATATATATATATATATTATATATATATAATATATGAATATTATACATAGCTAAATAATAGTATTACATGACAAATATTATATCAACCGATCGCTTACCTATCATAAGGAATACAAACGCAACAAGAAACGTAAGTCCATATCCTCTGTATGGTTCACCAGATTTACCATATCCTTTACTAAAATATATCAATCCAGGATATATTCTATCTTGACCTAATGCTTGGATTAATCTTGGTACTGATAATAGATTTGTTAATGCAGTTGAAAGTGTTGCAGCAAAACAGCCAGCATATATGAGTGGTCCCCAAAGTGACATTAGTTGCATGACCTACACAGATAATATTTGATGAACAATTTTATAAATCATTATATATATATATATATTTTTTTTTGTAAATTTCTAAAAAGAAATCGAAAGATATTTTTTCTTTAACGACTTACCGAATAACTATTATGAAGTCCATATAAACAATTACTTTGAGAAATACACTGAACGGTACCATTTACTCCAATGATACCATTGGCATCTCTCAATGCTGCTCCACCAGCAAAATACACAAAAGTGACATAACTTATCATAGATATTAAAAGTGCTAAAAGTGTTCCAATAGGTATACTATTTCCTGGATTTTTCAAATCTCCCGAAATATTTGCACCAGCCTGTATGCCAGTTACCGAAGGGAAAAAAATTGCGAAAACCGAAAAGAATGTTTGATTGGTGTTCTCAGAAAATCGATAATCCGAGCCCCAATTCTCCTTAAATACCTCCCCTGGAAAATTAAAGAGAAAAGAAAAATTTTATACGTTGCACGACGACAGAAATAAATCAAGCGTATATACGAAGGATGGATCAAAAGTTTTTAGATGGACCAAAGTGATTTTAAAAATCAATTGATCTTTTTCATGACTTTTTAAGCGAATTAGTTAAGCTTCTTCGTAGTTTTACAATCTAAGAAAAAAAAAAAACTGATTAATCCAACAAGTCTCGAAGAAGAACAATTTAGTTTTGAAATCATCTAGGAACTCTTAGCTCAGCCTTAGAAACTTTTAGCTCACCTTGTATATATATATATATATATATATATATATATACAGATTGTATTACATATGTGCAATATATGTAATACACATAATATATGTAAATATAATTAATGAAATGAAATAAATGAAAATATATAAATGACATAATATTCACAGGAAAAGCCAATGAATCCGTGAGAGATTTGTTCTTGATTTTTCGGGCCAATGATAGTACCAATTAAAAAGTCAAAAATAGCTGCTACGATGACTGCGATAAGGAAGTTCTGGGCCTAATAAATATATAAAAAATAAAAAATATGTAAAAATATACTGTCAAATTGAATTAGATTACACATAAAAAAAAAAAGAATAATAATTAAATTATCAATTTCAAAACGAAGATAAACGAACCAAAGAACGAACGAATGAATGAACAAACGAAAGAACTTACCTTTGATTCCCATTCCATACCAATAGCACAAATCAATATCATCACTATAAGAGCAATAGTACCAATAATTCTAACATCCTGTATTCCATTATCTATTATTTTAAGATCATGTTCCTTGAGTAGATCATTCATGGAATCACAGAAACCAATTGTGTTCATGGATGCCGCA